ATTTCCTTTGAAAGTCAAAAGCTAAAAGATTTAGTGCAACGCTACTCAAGACATGAGAAGGAAATAATTATCTTGATGCATTGTCTTGAAATTTGAAGGCACTACTTGCTGGGAATGAAGTTCATTATTATGATAGACAATGTGGAAAACACTATTTCAAGTTCTAAAAGAAGCCGACTCCAAAGCAAGCCCGATGGTAGGAGTTTCTTACTAAATTCAATTTTTTATGGGTTCATAGGCCTGGAAGGTTGAACCAAATTACTAATGCATTGAGCAGGAATAAGGTCCATGACTATGTTGCTATACTTTCCACTGTGCAGAACAACTTTCCTGCAAGTGTTAAAGAGCAGGGCCTGACTGATGTTTACTTACGACAAATTGAAGCAACAGGTTAGTGATGGTTTGGTTAGTAGATATTGGTTGAAAAATGACCTGTTTTATGCTAAGGGAGGCAAGCTCTATGTCCCTACAGTAGGGGAACTAATGCGGGAGTTGTTGTGGGAAACACATGACTTCCAATGGACTAGACATCCAGGAGTTAAGAGGATGCTTACATTACTATCTCGCTCCTACAATTGAACCAAGATGGAAGATGACGTCAAGACATATGTCAGGACTTATCTAGTTTGTTAACTTGACAAGGTTGAGAAGAAGAAGACATCGAATTTACCACGGCCCCTGCCCATTCCTGATAAACTACGACAGTCAACCTCGATGGACTTCATATGTAACCTGTCAAAGGTTAATGTCATGCGCTTGATCATGGTGGTGGCTGATCGTTTCTCCAAGTATGTTGTCTTCATTCATGCATCTCATGTTTGCCCTATAGATGTTGTTGTAGAACTATTTTACAAGTGCATGGTGAAATACTTTGGCTTGCTAGAGGATATAGTCAGTAATCGTGGCACAAGGTTCACTGGTAGATTTTGGATAGTGATGTTCAATTTCATGGGTTATGAGTTGAAGTTCTCTACAACAAGTCACTTTAGAAAAATGGTCAGACTGAATAGATCAATGTCTTGCTGGAGGGATATCTGTGACACTATGTCACTGCAAGTCAAAAAATTTGGGTGAAGTTGGTGAATACTATCTAATTTTGCTATAACTTGCACAGTTCTTCTACTACAAGAATGAGTCTCTGTGAATTGACTATGAGATATCAGCCACTTACTCCTCATAAAATAGTGAAAAAGAGAACCTGAGATAGATATTAGCACAGCTATAACATGTGGGTACTAGCCTAGAGGTGACCCATGCCTTAGCCAAATTGAGGGAAAGTACTTGGCCAATCACTCTTGTTATGAAGATAGCTTCTTAAAGACTTAGTCGTGTGCTTGGTTTGGTATTAAGAGTGTTCAACCAATGTTTCAGGTGGTATGTAGCGACTATGTTCCAGGCTCTCGTCGTTGTGGCTCCTTAGTTTAGAAGATGTTTGTTGCTGCCACTAGAGTTTTGCTCACTAATGTTATTATAGGGGAGGGGGTTGCTCCGTTAAGGAGTGCCAAGCCAGCCACCCCAAGGACCCTTATGTCCCCTAGTCTTGGCACACCAAAGCGAGGCACAACCCTAATAATGCTTGCCATGAGTGTGGACAAGGCATTCCAAAGTTTGAGATTCAAGGTGTAGGGCCGACGATCGGTGGAACCCGTCGTTAATAGAAGCCTCATGCAAAGTTGAGGAAGGCAGCACATGCTTGGGCACAAGCAAACAACCAGGGCTAGTCGGTGGCTCGAATTGTAGTTCATTGAAAGTTTGGAAGACCAAGCCATGGACTGGGAATGACTTGACACATAGTCTAGACAAATTAGGTATTGTGGGCTCACAAGGAAGGTAAGTACACGTCATCTGAGAAGGTTATGAGTAGTTGTTGACATGTGCTCCTCAAGTGAGGTGGTTCTGTGTAGTTGCTCGTATATAAATATATATTAATTATGATTTTTTAAGAAAAAAATATATTTTGATTTTTGATTTTATTTTGAATAAATGTCATAATAGAATATAAATTTTGATCGTAAAATTTAAAATATTTGAGATTCTATTTTTTATTGAAATATTTTTGGTGTAAGTATAATATTTTAAATTTAAGGGGTCTAAATATTACCCAATCGACAAATTTCAAGAAGACTGAATATAATTTTCTACCGAATATATTAATAGACAAAGGTCCGAGTATTAATATGTACAAAACTTAAGAAATCTATACATAATATTCCAAATATCAGCAATTTAAATAGTCAAGTCATTAAGTCTGAATGTCGTTATCCCAAAATTTAAAGTTGAGGAAGATCATTCGCTTCTGCCTCAAGAACAAGAGAGTTTGTTTGCAAGTAACCTATGTTCGCCATCATTTTTAGGCGAAGAGGAGATATTACAGGCAATGGCGTCACCAAATTGAATGGTTGACGCAACCATGTAGTCAAAATCACCAAACTGCCCTCACTCGTTGCTTTTATCAGCCCTCCCTCGTAATGAAACTCGTCGATGCGTTGCTTTCCCCATTGCTTATAGGCTTATAGCATGTGCACAAGTGGCATTTCAGCAAATTCTTAACTGTCAATTTATCGAAAAAGCTTTCCAATTTCCATTCGTCAATGCCTGACGGATTATCTAAATGATAGAGTCTCTGCTCAGTAATCGGCCTGAATCGAGAATAGACCGTCTTTTTGCCAATTCTAGGTGAATTTTTCTGTCCAAAATCTGCTCTTTCACAGAAAAACACACATGTGATTTCATATATGCATGATTTTGAGGTCTTCTGAATGAAATTTGTAGATTGAGAAGCTCGAAGAAGTCGGTAATGGTGCCTCCACCTATCCTTTCCTTGGCTCTGCCATCGGAAACGGGTCGAGTTCTCAGCATTCAGTCTCACACTGTACAGGCATTATTTCAAGCTTACACATGAGTTTTTGTGTTGCATTTAACTTCCTGATTGATATATTTTTCGTGTTTATGTGTTTGTTTGGACTGATCACTCGTGTGCATGCTATCTAGAAATTGAATGAGGAGTTGTTCGATTTTAGGAATGCCAACTTTTTTTGAACTCTTCATGAATTACTGGTTAACTTTTTAAATACTCTTCAATGTCACAGATTCGGTTTTAAGGTTTAACCCAATTGTACTTCATAGAAATCCAATCTCCGTATTTGGCGTGTTTGATCTGTTCTTTTTGGAGGAAAAAAAAACATTTTCAGTTGGTACTGTGAGGAACTTCGGATGAACAAACTGGCTGACAAGAGAGGTGGGAAGGGGCCATCTTTAGGGAAGGATAATTGCAATGGAGTGTAGAACAGAAGCATTGTTTGTCCATGCCCTCTACTGGTACCGAAATAAGCAGTTGTTTTAGATGGCATTTTGAGGTGGGCGTGCCTCAAAATCAGGCATCGAGACAAGGCCTTGAGGCTTAACAAATTAGGCAGGACACTTCTGAAGCATGCACATTAGTAGCCTGTACACTATCAAGTGTCTTGGACTGGACACTATCAAGTGTCTTGGACTGGACACAAAAGGCATGATTTTTTTGGCTCAGTGTTAAGGCATATACCCAGCCAGAGCTCATAATCTTTTCCTTCTTGTTTTAGATTACACTATTTACCATGGTCAGTTTTTTTAAGTTTCACTATTCACCCTGGCAAACTTGTTTTAAATCTCACCATATGTTTGGATAGATCTAGGAATCTACGATAAGGAGCGTACAAATATTCAATAAAAATTTGACCAAAGTACAACTGGGATTGGTCTTTTGTTTCCACATTGATTCACAAATAATTAGCAACTATTAAGTTATATACCTATTATACTCAACATCTTAAGTTGTGCTTGATGTTCTCTCATGACATACAACATATCTATGACAGAATGGGATTCAAAATTTTAAGCAACATCTTTCACAATGAATGTGATCAAGTAACTTGCTAGCCAATCATCCTCCATCCCGTTGCTCGGTTTATTCTTGACAAATTTATATTGCTGAAAATGTTCATTCCACTTCGACCAATGCTTAGCACACTCAGACGTCATTGGTAACTTTTGAAATTCAAATTGTTTTAGACTATCAAGCATAAAGTGATGCAACTGGAATTTCAAACGTGGTTTTCTTGTTGTGTGAAGTCTATGATCAACTCTATCACATCTTTCTTAAATCTGTTCAATTCTTGCACTGAGAATCAACTGGAAATACTTGGTAAAGGGAATCAGCTGTAAATGAAAGCATATCCATAAAAAAATAATGCTTAAAGGCAATCTAATTGCTTTCAGAACAAGAATGATCTCGACAGTGTGAAACGAGCACTCATATTAGGAATATATATTTCATTTTTCACACAATTTTCTTCAACAAAGGAACTTCTCCATCTTCTCTAAATTGTTGAACTTGTGTTTTTCTTGTCGTTACTAGATGCATTGCATTTAATGTATTGAGTTTTTTGTTGCAATGCTAGTCAAAGATAATCAGTATTCTCCATGGTCCCTCTCCTAAGCTGTATTAATAATTAGCAACAAATTAATAAGGTCAATAGCTAATGGTACACTTCAATGGGGGTGCTTCATAGGACCTCGACCCGCCTACTCGGGTCTTGTATGGATATGCTCGAAGGGAAAATCAATGGGCAAAATATATAATTTGAAAATATTCACAACTTATACTAGTGTAATAAGGGATTATTTTCTGCAATTTTAGGGCGGCGGCTGCGCCATTTCCCACCCATCAGAGGCATCATCATATTTTCCACTCTGACTACAAAAGCTACTAAATTTTATTAGTTTGTCTGTCACCACTAAACTGTTACATAAATACTAGAGTGGTTTAAATTCTTATATTTTAGCCCGTGGACAGGTTCCATCTGGAAGCTTGCATTAATGAATGCTACCTTTTTTGGTAGTTATGTATCATCATTTGCCATTAGTTGGTTGTTTGCTGATTAAAAATTAGTTTTTGGTCTGTTACTGGTTTAAATTTTATCGTATATGTGATGATTCATCATGTCTAATATAAACTGAAATTTTGCTGCCGTATATTTTTTTGCTAATAGTTGCTTTTACCTTTTCTCTTATTCTCCAATATGAAAATATTAAGCATTAACGGACCAAGCCTTTTTGCATCACCGTTGCATTTACCTATAAAAAAAAGGTGATAAACTGATGATAAAGAAATTATCATGGGGATAGGCTCGTTTCAAACATGGATAAATCTTTAATTTAAGGGGAGGAATAGAAGGAACAATTACTGAAAATTTATGTAAGAAGTGATATGTATCTGCACTTCCTTAATTGTTCATTTATCAAAGATAAACAAGCAACTATTGCTTTAATCTGATGCGTTTCATCATTATTCAGTCATGAAGTGTAAGTGGGACACCCTGCCTCCTGTTTTAGATTATAGAAGTAACTCATATAGATGTTGGGAGGTAAATGTGGAAGAAATGGTGGGAGAGTTTGTGAGACATTTCGAGAATGTGGTGCTTTGTGGTATGTGAATTTATTCTAGAATTTCTTTTTTGATCTTTAGTGTTGAAGATTCACTCAATTAGCATTATTGCAATGATACTATCGGCATACCTGGAAATAGGATGAATTTCCAAACCAAATGGGTTGTTCCTTTCTTTAAGAGTTGTTCACAAAGCATGAGACTTTTAACACTTCAAAGGCAGGACGACTGCACTACCAAGGATTTCAAGGTTCACACTTGGCATATAAAGCTGACGTAAGAAAGAACAGAGAAGAGTTAATGGCATTTTTTGATTAGACATGACTATATCTGTTTAGATGATGGTAATGATGATTATGTTTGTGGGATTGTATACTGTGGAAGCAGTACATAAAGCATTTGGTTGTTATCTTTATTTTTTGTGAATTCTTCTTTTATACATGCAGTTATATTTATAGCAATGCCATTGCAAAGATTTAAGTACTTGGTTCTTTTCTATGCTGTCATCAATGCATACTATTATCCCTTGATATCCGTGAGCTTATGGGTCGTCATAGTCAATCAATTATTTGTATCATAATCTGAGAAAATAAATGCATAATGGAATATTTTTAACATTTATACCGAGCTCGTTTCTTTACGATATATTTTTCCAGAAAGTGGAGACTTTCTATGTTTCTATCATAATTTGGGATATTGGTCTTTCTTTAATTTATGTCCCTTTATGGTTCTTGTAATTTATGACCATTAATTATTTATTATAATGGATGGAGTTGATTGTCTTTTGCCTTCAAATGTAATACCTTATTTTAATTTTAATAGAGACTGCATCAACATCTATTGTCACTGTTATTCCTCAAATAGGCTGTTTGCATTTCATAATTCTTGTGTTGAAGTCAATTTTAAAGTCCATTTCTCTTTAGGGATATGTGGGAAACAACTCAGCTGTCTTCCCTCTCCAATTACTTGGCTATGATGTGGATCCGATCAATTCTGTACAATTCTCAAACCACACAGGCAAGCTGCTTATATCTTCACTCACATAGTCTGAGGCCTGATATACGGAGCGAGGTTATCTGTGAACCTGGAAAAATTCAGGCATGGAATCCTGGACAATATGTCAGTCAGTTAACGGATTAACTAACTTTGGGATTGTGCAGGATACCCAACTTTTAAGGGGCAAGTGTTGAATGGAAAACAACTATGGGAGTTGATAGAAGGCCTGGAAGCGAATAATTTATTGTTCTACACTCATTTATTGACTGGTATGTGAAATGTTCAATGTTGATTTGCTAAAAAGCTGCTCAGATCTTTGGTGAAGCAGCCCTAAGGCCTTGTTGCCAAATTTCGTGTTCACCATTGTGGCTGTACTTAGAATTTGACTAATATTAACCCAACATCTGAAAAATAGCAAGACACGTGAATGTTTTTGGTCTCAGAATTTCCTGAAAACTAGCATAACATATTTCTATATTCACAAGTGTGTCTATGTATTGAGTTTGTTCCATCTGCTTAGAAATGACTGAGCTCAGTTGTGTTTAGAGTATATTTTCCTCTGTAGTCTTATTATTATATACATCGATTAATTGCATTTCTTTCTTTTGATCTAACTTTTTGGTGCCATGATTTTTTTTCTGATTTATCTTTCTGTCTTGGTATTCCTGCCCATTATAGGAGGTGCTAAATATGACAGGTTTGTTTGCAGGTTATATTGGTTCTGTCTCCTTCTTGAACACTGTATTAGAAGTCATCAATAAGCTTCGGTCAATCAACCCCAAACTTACCTATGGTGGGTCGATTGCTGCTACAGCAAAAATTACTCCTGTGCTCCTTGTGATTGTTCTCGAGTACATTTCTAACTCAGTCTTAAAAAATATCTTCCTCACAACTTATGGCCAACTTGGGGGCAAAATATGGACGCCAATTACTATGTTGCAAAATCTTATATGAAAGTCCAAATCAAACAACATCACCATATATAGGACTGAGTTGTTGATAATAACAATTTGTTGAATTCTTAGCTGAGAATGTTTGTCATATATTTGAATATTACTCATAATTCTCCTTGATATGCATGTGCTTGTTATATCTATTCTAACTATAATAGGATCTTCTTGTCAGTTTGTGATCCCGTTATGGGTGACGAAGGAAAGCTTTATGTGCCTCCAGAATTGGTATCAGTATATCGTGAGCAGGTAACCCTTTAATTACCCTACCTAAATCCAGGATTTGCATTTAATAGAGACTGTTAGCTTGTGCTGGCTTTGTAACCTGGGGCACTAAGAGGTCTGGGCCGGACAGACCTAGTTTTTTCTCTCTGCACGAAGTGGTTTCCCTTAGAGTTGCGGCCAAATTTCATACTTGACAATCAAGTTTTGTCATGTGCCAAGCAAGGGTCCTCAGTTTTCCATTAACACCCTTCAGCATTTAGACCTTATATTGACTACTCGAGCTGATTAAACTTGATTTTGCCTCATGTATGATTTATTTTGTGGATTCATAGTTTATCTTTGTTTAAATTCCACACAAACCCCTGACATTTTGATTAGTTACACGAACACCCTCAGTATGGTGAAAAGTGACCAATGAGCCTTTGGTTCAATGGTACTCCTTGTCTTGTAAAGGCTTTACTTTCTTAAGGTCAAGGGATCAAGTCTCCCTCCCCCCTCCAAAAAAAATACAAAAATAAAAAAAAAGTGTTGTAAAAAGTGAGCCTAGGCGAGAAGCGAAGCGAGGGGACCCTATGTCACCTTGAACATGTCAAGCGAAGCGAATATAGTCGAAGCGNCATCACCATATATAGGACTGAGTTGTTGATAATAACAATTTGTTGAATTCTTAGCTGAGAATGTTTGTCATATATTTGAATATTACTCATAATTCTCCTTGATATGCATGTGCTTGTTATATCTATTCTAACTATAATAGGATCTTCTTGTCAGTTTGTGATCCCGTTATGGGTGACGAAGGAAAGCTTTATGTGCCTCCAGAATTGGTATCAGTATATCGTGAGCAGGTAACCCTTTAATTACCCTACCTAAATCCAGGATTTGCATTTAATAGAGACTGTTAGCTTGTGCTGGCTTTGTAACCTGGGGCACTAAGAGGTCTGGGCCGGACAGACCTAGTTTTTTCTCTTTGCACGAAGTGGTTTCCCTTAGAGTTGCGGCCAAATTTCATACTTGACAATCAAGTTTTGTCATGTGCCAAGCAAGGGTCCTCAGTTTTCCATTAACACGCTTCAGCATTTAGACCTTATATTGACTACTCGAGCTGATTAAACTTGATTTTGCCTCATGTATGATTTATTTTGTGGATTCATAGTTTATCTTTGTTTAAATTCCACACAAACCCCTGACATTTTGATTAGTTACACGAACACCCTCAGTATGGTGAAAAGTGACCAATGAGCCTTTGGTTCAATGGTACTCCTTGTCTTGTAAAGGCTTTACTTTCTTAAGGTCAAGGGATCAAGTCTCCCTCCCCCCTCCAAAAAAAATACAAAAATAAAAAAAAAAGTGTTGTAAAAAGTGAGCCTAGGCGAGAAGCGAAGCGAGGGGACCCTATGTCACCTTGAACATGTCAAGCGAAGCGAATATAGTCGAAGCGAGAGAAAAGCAAGCAAAAATGAAGAAGTGAAAAAGCTAAAAAAGTGAATAAGCGCTTGCTTTAGTGAACTATTTAATTCTACGTCTTCGGATTCTTCTTCTCCTCTTCTCATTTTTTTCCTCTTTTTATGATTTTCTGATTTTGCTAGGACCTCCACCTCCTCTTCTACTCTATTTCTGGTTTTCATTTTGGCTATGTTGGTGTGATGTTGATTCTACTTCCTTATCTTCTACTCTACTTCTATTTTTTTTTTTTTGATGTGTTGTTGTGATATTGATTTTATTTCCTCCTCTTCTACTCTTTCTATTTTATTTTATTTTTTGCTGATTCTGCTGTGTTGTTGATTTTGTTTCTCATTTTGTTGGACCCTCCCCCCTTGATTCTGCTGTGTTGTGCAATTATACTTAGAATGATTTTTTTCTTTGTTATTCTGGTTTTCTGCTTTGTTATGACTGGGTTTCTGCTTTATTATACTTTTTCTGCACTTGTTGCTTAGCTAATTCATTTGTGTTTGTTTTTAGACTGCTCCTGTTTGATTCTACTGCTTGGTTATGCTTAGTTCAATTGTTTTTCTTAAAAAAGATTGATGTAGTAGAAAATCATATAATTTTTGTTGTTGCTTCCTATTTGTAATGGAAAGGATTTCATCTGTGATGGTTGAGTACTAATGACCAGATTTTTAATTTGTGATAGTTTAGATATAAAATATTTTCTTTTTTTTATTGTTCGCTTCGCCTCTCGCTTCTCACCTAGGTCTCTAGAGACTTGTTCGCTTTGGTTCGCTTCACGCATTAAATAACATTTACACATTTATGCTTTGAGAAATGATAGTGAAATCCTTGACATTTGATAATTGCAACATATCAATTTCTGCCATTTAACTGATGTTGCTAAAATGTTAGTAAAAGTTGATGCCACAAAAAAAACTCTAATTCTAAGAATGTCCTCAATGGGCAGTTTGAGTTTGAGAATTTAAGAACAATTTTATGCCTAAAATTATACATGAAAGACAAATTTATCTCGATATTTCATTTCGAATATGTTAACTGGTTCTCTATTTTATTATAAAATTATAAAAATATTCAAACTTTCAATGTGATTACAACCAAATACTAATTATTCAATTTCTTTTCATAATTAATTATAGTTTTAATGTTGACCATGTAATTTATTAATTAACCACAAGATAATAACCAATTCCAGGAATTAATACATTTGTAAGATCTCCACTAATTGCAATTTTTGTACCACCTCCGCTACTGGAACACCAAAAAAGAGCTTTCTGTCTCTCTCTCCCTCCCTCACCTAACATACACACACCNTGCAATTTCTGTACCACCTCCGCTACTGGAACACCAAAAAAGAGCTTTCTGTCTCTCTCTCCCTCCGTCACCTAACATACACACATCACAGGCCAAAACCTTTCCACCCCTGCTCACACTAGCACCAAGAGGTTTGAAAGCCTATAAGTGCAGCACCAAATTGCCATGCACTTCGCTATGGTCTTTGATTTCTTTGTGGCTACCTATACCAGTTATACCATACACCCAAGACAATGCTTTGTATCAATGAATATCATGAACAAAAATATATGATTTGGTTCAAAACCAAAATCCCTCCAAATATTTAGTGTTCTTTTGATGAGTTTTATTGGGGATCTAGTGGGTGGGGGGGTTGGCCATAATGGGGGTGTGTGTGAAGGTCGGGCTCAGAGGTTGGCTGTTATTGGGGGTGTGGATCTAAGAGAGAGAGAGAGAGGGTTGGGTTATGGTACAATTTTGTAGTGGTTTTATTCAGGGCGTGGAGCTAAGAGAGAGATGGATGTATGCAGAGAGGGGGAGGTTGTTGTGCAGTACAAGAAGGGAGGAGGGGGGAGAGATTTGTGAGGGAAGGGGAATCAGGGGCATTATTATGGGGTTGGGTAGAAGTTTGGGTCTATTTATTTATTTATTTTATATCGCATAAAATTAAGGGTAAAATAGTCTTTTTGATGGACTAGTTAATGCCGTCTAACAATTCGGGTCTCACTATCATTTCTCAAATCACACAAGTGACCTGTGTAGCTAACCCAATTGTCAGGGTCTGCGTATAGTGCATCTTTTTTCTTTCAAGGTTTTATATGTAGTCCGAGCCCCGAGGTGAAATATATATCCCAAGTGTACAAAGAGACATGAATCTAATTTTTTTTTGTATAGTTGTTGTTTGTTTGGTGATGCTATGAATAGTTCTAAAATAAATGTTGTAGTTGCTACTTGCTATATCGCATTTTTTTATCTATGGCTGGTTATATCTGAAATTTAAAAAGGAAATTCAGTGAGTAGTCAATACTTCCTGCTAGTCAGTTAACAATTAATATTTTATTTTTTTTCCCAGTTGGGCAAATTATATTTTTCAACTTGATACTATCAGCATGGAAATGCTTCTTTTGCTTAGGTTGTGCCAGTTGCTTCAATGTTGACTCCTAATCATTTCGAAGCAGAACAGTTGACTGGGTTCAGGTATGCATGACATCTTAATGATGCTAAAATAGTAAGTTTGGTGAATATTATGGGGATATTGTTTATGCTCTTTTCATTTTTGAAACTAGCTTACTGTACTAATTAATAGAGTTTTCATGTGTTGATTTACAGTGTCAATGACAAGTGATGACATAAAACAATGGTTTGAACTCACAAAAATAAATCAAAACTTTTTTACTATATTTAATGAAACTATTTAGTCTTTCTTGTGCGTGGAGAAGTTCATGCAACATAGTTCCAATTTGTGTCCGTGTCCCAGACACATATCTCAATTGAAGTTCATGCAATTGAGTTCACACATTTTAAAAAATACAGACACTTGTAGGAAAATGTAAAATGGAAAATGTGACATGACTATCTCATACTATGGAAAATGTAAAATGGAAAATGTGATATGACTATCATACTATGGAAAATGTAAAATTATTTAGGCTTATTAAGATTATACTTAAAATTTACACACAAAAAGCAAAACTAATGACATTTTATTCTAGAAGAGGGCTTGGGAGAATTAATATGTATTTTTGCTTCACTTAGTCCATAAAAAAATGGGTGATTATTGAATTTTATGATCCATTATTCTTATAATTGATTCTTAGCACTAAACATAATACTCATCTTCTTATATCGTACAAAAATATTTGTAAATATTGATAGAAGGAGATAATTTCTGTGCAACATGCTTTTGCCATTGTAATGTCTGAGGAGGGTTGGCATTCACATTTTTACCTGAGTGTGAGATAATATTATTTTTGTGATTTGCACCCATAAATTCAAGTTAATGGAGTAACCTTACCATTGAGCCAAGGTCCAGACCCATAAATATTGCTAAAGTAATGGATTTACCAAAACAAATATTTTTGGCATGTCTTGGTCATGTTCATGTCATAATTTTTTAAGAATTTATTTTTTTGACGAGTCTGTACGTTTCTTGTCCGCATACTGTATTTGTGCTTCTTAGCTTTCATTGGGATATTCTCTGGAGTTTAATGCTGCCAGAAGTACAATTTTAATACTATATGGCATAATTACTCTTACAAAGAGAATATTGCAACATATCCAAGCAGTGTAAATTTTGATATGTTCATTGCAATGGTCTTCATGCTGCCTTAGTAAGTTTGATTTGTGGCAGGATTGTGTCTGAACAAGATGGCCGGAAGGCTTGCGACATTCTTCATTCAGCTGGACCATCAAAAGTTAGTTACAACTGATACCTTTACTTCAATCAACATGAAAGTTAAACATCGTGTGTTTTGTATTTCTTTTGAGAAACAAGTTCATATAGTTCTTGGCTGCTTATTTCTTCTCTCTTAAATCTGTGCGTCAGAAGTCTTCTATGTTGCCTTATTTTATATCTTTTTGTTGTGATTATGCTGCCGTGTTTCTTACGTTGTCATATATAATAGCATGTATGAGTACTCAGGCTATCATCATGTTTGCTTAGCCCCTTAATCCATTGTGTAAGTTGGTCATCCTAGTTGCTGATGACTATTCTATGAGTCTTGGAACACTTGATATGCTCTCAGAACTCAAGGTATATGGTAATCAGGCCCATTTTTAGAGATGCTATCCGAAGAACCTTATTTTGTTGTCTTGCTTAAATCAAGGAATCAAGGTTCANCTTGGAACACTTGATATGCTCTCAGAACTCAAGGTATATGGTAATCAGGCCCATTTGTAGAGATGCTATCCGAAGAACCTTATTTTGTTGTCTTGCTTAAATCAAGGAATCAAGGTTTACCAGCTTAAAAAATGAATAGTTCCAATTTTGCTTTTGAGCTCGGTGTTGATATCATGCAAATCAATGGTTGTCTTTTTGTGTTTTGATCAGATATAGAATGAAAAACAAAAAAAGAGAACATTAAGGAATGAGGCATGGAAAAATGATGGCATTCTCAAATTTACCAGTTGAAAAAAATGTTTTTAAGCCTTAGAAAATAAAGAAAAAAAAGACTGTTTAAAATTTTCTATTAACTCTCTTCTGTTTCTTCTTTCTCTATTTCTTTCTCCTCCCCTTCTTTCTCTTGTATTTCCATTTCATTTACTAGTTCTAAGGTTGCCATTTCTACTCCTTGTTTTCCCCAATTTATTAGAGTTATTGGTCATACTAGATATTGCTTGAGCTCGTTCTCCATGTTGGTCCATCTAAATAGGGTGAATTCTGTTTTGTATGCGTCTATTTCGAAGTTCTTTTCATGGCGGGAGATATAAGATAATGGCAAAATAAGGAACCTACTTATAGCCTTTTCAATGTTACTTAGAAACATAGTCTTGACCACATACTATCAGAAAGGCCGTTAGGTAAGCCTAGGCCCACTCCATGCCTTTTGTTATGTTTTATTCCAATTTGTTTAGGGCACAAATTCAACAAGTACACCGCACAAGCAACGACTTAGGGCCCAAAAGTCTTGTGGCATGTTTTTACCTTTCAACATACTACATGCCATGTTAAGGATTGTGCGGTTCTTTCTTTCGGCAGCACCTTTTTGTTGAGGTGAATATGGTGTGGTCAAAGGATGACGAATACCATGCTTTTTACAAAAAGCTTTGGTGGCTTTTTTTTTTGATGCAAATGCACCTCCTCGTATTCCCTCCAAAGCCGATTCAATGGTCAAATCAAATCTTTCTTTCTTAATCTTCCTTCCCCCCTGGTCGAACCAGTTTTCATTTCCTCCAGCCCCTAGACTCGTTACTTTTAACGACTTCACTCGTTGGTCCAACCTTTTCTTCAAACCCATCACCCCAAGCCTTCTCTCTGACTTGAAATATAATAAGTATCTCTATGTTCCCTTCAAATATGAATACTACGACTAGAGTTTTGTGAAAAAAGCCAAAGCCCCTTATTGGATTTGAATTGATGGCTTATGCCTTTACCATGGCATTACTCTACCACTGAGTTAAAAGGGATTTCATTCCCCCCATCACCTATAATTTTATTTGTGGAACTTTTTGCTTGTTTATGCCGTTACGGTAAAAGCTTATATTTTTGTTTGTTACGATGACTATTCATGCCATATGGAACCTGACCTTTCAGCTCCTTAGTTAATTTGAGCTTATTGTATATTTAAGCAAGCTTATCTGTGATTCTTGTGTGGATATAGTATTTCTACATCATGTGACAAATCAGTAATATTGTCTAAGTGTAGAGATCACATCATTTGTTGTTTTTGTTTAGCCTAAAGTAACAAATTTCCTTCATTTTTTAGGTTGTGGTAACGAGCATAAATGTAGATGGCAATCTTCTCTTGATTGGCAGTCATCAGAAGGAAAAGGTTCAAATTTAAGATTTTAGCTGCATATCTCCTGATTCTGAATTATCTTCTCTTGCCAACGGTTACATTGTATTGTCGGGTATAACCCTATGCCATTGTATGGGTATCACATTTTTTTTCTTTGGAATTTAGCTTGGGTGTTAGTGCTTCATGTCATTAGGCAAACTGTTTGGATTTTTAAAAACTATCACTATATATTTGTGAATAATTGGCTCGTTCATATATGTATTTGACCAGCACACCTTTCGGGGTCTTGATGCATTGAAGGGGGACTTGCCGCAGTAGTTGAGTAATATGTTCTTGCATCTCTCTGTCTCTCTCCCCCCCCCCCCCCCCCCTCTCTGTCTCCTTTTCGTTCATTCTTTCTCGGGATCTTCATGTTTAGTGATGCAGTAGATTGTCTCTAATTTATTTTATAAACTTCTCTGGAACTTGCTTGTGTGGTTGAAATGTTGTTTTGCCCTATATTGATTACCATTCATGTCTATTTTTATACTTGAATATGATTTTCAATGTTCCTCAACCTCATATATGGGCAAAAGTTTGCACTTTTTTTGAATGGTATGCTTATGTACTTATCATGCTAAAGTTTTTATTTGCACTTTTGAACTTAATGTGACAGGGTCAGTCTCCTATGCAATTCAAGATTCTGATACCCAAAATTCCTACATATTTCATGGTATGTAGTTTCTCGAGAGGCGGGATCTTCTGCATAGCAATATATGGTTGTTCAAAGGTGCTAGGGTCACATTTGATAATAATTCTCTGGCATGAATTATGGTGCTATAAGTGGAATACTAATAAAAGTAGACGTCTTGCCCTGCTTTTGATCAAGAAGTACATTTTAGCTTTTCTTCACTTTACTTCTGTCAGTTTTTTATGAGCTACATGGCACATAACACCTGTTCTTTCTAGAGTTATTTTCTTCTGAGATGGATTGACTATGCAAGGCAAGAAGCAAATAGAGACTCAATTTTTGGCAGAATCGTTTCTTAAAATTTTCTTCGCAAGGTTGATGAAAAAAGTGGCACGCAACTCTAGCTAACACCTTGAGTAACATGATTGTTTGATGCTGTGGGCAGTATGCACATTATCATATGATTTCACTCACTGTGCAGGAAAATTTTCAAACCAAATGATTCCGTATTTTTTTCTGGACATGCATAGGAAGAAGACATTAGAGGTGATGACACCTAATAATTCATGATAAGATGTTTCTGTATAGTTCATGAACTTCGTTGCCTGGGAGCTCAAGAAAGCTCTCGTAGTGAAAGAGGGATGAGAGGGTTTTTGATAAGTGAAATGATACTTATAAGTCTGTTAGTGATGCCCTTAGTCTTTTTTCTTTTTTTCGGTCAACCTTTTCTTTCATCCATTGGTCACTTTTTGTTGTTGCAACTATCTGTACGAGACATTCTGTTCCAATGTATATGGGTATATGGCATGCAGGGAACAGGCGATCTAATGACTGCACTGCTACTTGGATGGAGTAACGTAATCCCTTCAAATGTTTGCCAGATTTGTTCCTAAGCCAATTAACCCATATTATGTTGTTTCTAATTATAGCTGCTTTTTGTGTTGTCCAGAAATATCCTGATAACCTTGACAAAGCAGCAGAGCTTGCTGTATCAAGTGTGCAGGCACTTCTTCTGAGGACATTGGCTGACTATCAGATTGCCGGATATGACCCACAATCAAGCAGTTTGGAGATTCGATTGATTCAGAGCCAGGATGACATTCGCAGCCCAGAAATTAAATACAGGGCTGAGGCATACAACTAAATCAACATGAGCATTGAAACTACATCAATAATCACATCCAGTTAATACAATTACAAGAAACAATTAGTTGAGCTTTATTTCAATCCCTAAAAATGTTGTTGTACAATGTGTACAAGACTAAAACAGAATTTTTGTTCCTTGAAGGACAAGAGAAACATGAATGAACCAAGTATGGGTTCTTCTGGAAATGATAAGAGCATGTCAGGTCATCTATTAAACGTATATACATGTCAAAACCAAGCCTTGGAGAATCTTATCTTCTTCGACGACCTCTCTTTTCATACTTTGAATTAGCTTTGATCAGAACAGCAGAGTTGATAACTTGTTCATGCACCAGCGGAGCCCTCTCATTCTCTTCCATCTTGTATGGCTTCGTAGGTGTTACTTGTCAGAGTGAAAGGGTTTAACAAACTTTTCTTTGTGATGAGGTAGTTTGATTATCTTTAAAATTATGAGCCGTTCGACTTCAGATTCTCCTTCAAGAAGGCTCAATCTGGTGGTGAAGACTTCCCTAGCTTGATTAATGCCGCAAGCATTCCTCTCTTTTTTTTTTGGAGAAGGGGAAGGGGAGGGGGATTTGAACTCTTGATCTCAAGAAGATAAAACTTTCATAAGACAAAGAATATCATTGGACCAAAGGCCCATTGGTAGCAAGCATTCCTCTAAACAAGGACACGAACGCTGTAATATCAATGACATAACACATCATTTTTTCCCTCTTTATGGTTAATTAAGGCGCCATACTTCATAATTGACAATAATGAATACCATTATATTATGTTGACATTGTTTCAATCCGTACACATGATCTATTTATAGTGGGATTCATGTCATCTATACTTAAGACTATATCATGTATGGCCGTGTTCTTGTCGACCCAATTATTATCAGGGCTTAGGTCGATTCGGTTGTTTATCCCAACCATTGAAAGACTAATCTATGCTCTTAACTTGGTGACAATTTCATGTTTGGCTGAGAGGCTGCGTGGCAATTTTCATCACTCCGGCATATGTAACCTCCAACTAGCACACTGCTGCCCATAAAGAGCAGGGCTTCATAGTGTAATTAAGGCAGTTGCTACCCATTCGAAGCCATTGGAGTGAAGGCGATTCGAATTGCTTCCACTCACATGCTCTTAGGACACATTGTTGCGACGAAAACTTCAAAAGCACACAATCACCAGCTTACCACTCACGTGGATTAAACCTTGTAACCACCAAGTCTACAAATGCAGGGTTAACATTCAAAATAAAGAATGTACCAGCAAAATAGTAAGTATTTAACCTGGTACATATACAAAAGTTATGCTTGTTGATTATTCCATGTATATGGTTTTCAATTGATATAGGGTATCAAATAATAGTTGGGCCCGTTATTAATCTAATGGTGGTGAGGGACTAAGCCAACAACTTAGTTTAATAAATTAGATTCAAGAAGCATTGTTTGATTGTTTTTCACATGGAGAAGAAAGAAATTGATCATGGCCTTGACATTGCATATGTCCAGTCATTCAGTTTGTTGGTTGGAGAGGCCGACCAGTGGGGAGGCCTGAAGCAAAATAGGATCTTGAGAACTCGAAAGAAAATGATGGGAGGATCCTTCATCAAGGGGATCAAAAAAGAGATAGACATGAGAGCAATCTTCGATTCCATACTCAACCGGAGAGAGTTCGTTTTCATTCATCAAATGGCTTGGATCATCACCAAATATCAAAATGAGTCGATTTTCTTGGGTTCTAATCTCTCTCTTGAGGTCTACAACCGTGGCATCATCACCGACGTTTATGTAGAAGAGTTTTTCGGACAATATTTCCAACACCACCCTCATTTTTTGTCCAGACAATAGTGCATTTAGCCACTCGACTCTTTTTGAGACGGGGAGGAGAACATCGTATGCACAACATGAAAGGTGGTCACAAAGGCTGCATTCTCTATAGTCAGTTTTTGTATCATGCCTATCAAATGGACAGTTGTTTGTGAGTTTAAGCAAGTGAAACTAACTCTAAAAGTTACATTAAATGTGTTCATGAACTACTCAGTAGATTCCGTAAGAGTGATTAAGGGAATGGTCTCGTTTGGGTTCTCAATTTTTTTGCTGAAATGAGATTGAAATTAGGGAGAAAGAGATTGGATTACAAATGGAATGAATTCACACTACAATAGTGTCACCAATGGCTTCATTCCTTTTACCATGAATAATTTCTGGTAACTGGTAAGTTTAGCATGAGTGAAACAAAAGCAGCTTTGGTATTTAAATGAAGATGCAAAACCATAAATTTCACTCAGAGATCCGACTTCTTTTAGACCAGCTGCTCCAACTAGATATTATTTGGACATGTGACTAACAACGTAAATTTGGGGCACATGCAATTACCACTGTATTGATTCCAAAAACTAATTTGGACTGACAAATTCATGCAACTCACAAAAACATTTGGCATGCAATATCCTCAAATCCGTTTTGATATATCGGANTCAGAGATCCGACTTCTTTTAGACCAGCTGCTCCAACTAGATATTATTTGGACATGCGACTAACAACGTAAATTTGGGGCACATGCAATTACCACTGTATTGATTCCAAAAGCTAATTTGGACTGACAAATTCATGCAACTCACAAAAACATTTGGCATGCAATATCCTCAAATCCGTTTTGATATATCGAACAGTTTAAAAATTTTAAACCTTATAAACTTGTGTCGTTGGCCTCTTCTCAAAGCCATGATCAAACACTTCTTTTAAGTATGAAAAAAGACGGATTCTATTATATCATTGTATCTCATTTTGCTTGCGAGATTTTAAAATGGTGTCCAAATGGCGACTGAAGTGTCAAAAATACCTTAGTTGTTCTAGAAGCTCTTTTATTTAGCGCAGGGAAGGTGGATGCTCTATCGGACAATAGCTTTGGGCTATTTGGAAGTTCTCGCATCTCTTGGGGTCTTTATCATCTGAAAACTTCGTTTGTCATTTAAAGAGCAGGGCTAGGTGAAGTGCACATTTAGTTCCCAACCTCAANTTCTAGTAGCTCTTTTATTTAGCGCAGGGAAGGTGGATGCTCTATCGGACAATAGCTTTGGGCTATTTGGAAGTTCTCGCATCTCTTGGGGTCTTAATCATCTGAAAACTTCGTTTGTCACTTAAAGAGCAGGGCAAGGTGAAGTGCACATTTAGTTCCCAACCTCAACAACTTTCTTCAACAAATGATTGGGGACTGCATAGATATTCGAATTGCCGGTCAGACTCTCTGGTATGGATGCTCAGAATCTGTAATCCCAGAGGCTCCTGCCAGTGCGAAGTTTAGTGAGAGCTAATATATACATGATTACCCTATATATGAAAAAATTGTTTCTGTGATTCGACCTGTGATACTCAACTCCAAGTCAACAGTGTCATCCTTTTATCATGGTGTAAAGTATATTGTGATTTTATATTGCATATGGGCATTTGCAATACTTTTTTATTTTCCAATTGAGATAAATAAATGAATTAGGGGAAATTTAAGAAGTTCCATAAGAACAAGAGACTTTAGTTATAAAGTTCTCTAGTAAGAAAATGAGAAATAAAAGGCTACAAAACTTAAATCATCACAAAATCAAGGTCAAGCATCCAATGATTCTTCATGTGAGTCCAAAAAACCAATTTGATTCATGAATCGCAATATCAATCTCATTATAGAAGAGAGTTGTTCTTGGTATTATAAAATATATGACTTNCAAGGTCAAGCATCCAATGATTCTTCATGTGAGTCCAAAAAACCAATTTGATTCATAAATCGCAATATCAATCTCATTATAGAAGAGAGTTGTTCTTGGTATTATAAAATATATGACTTACTTCACAGAAATTTAATGAAAAGGCAAAGAAAATCTCAGGTAAGCTTTAAATTTTCTTAAATAGTTCTATTATTATCCGATTTGACTATGTAGAACATGAACAATTAAGTACAATGACAACTCCTCTGTCCCCCATATGGAGTGCCTGCAAAAAAAAAAAAAAAAACAAGTCAAATGTTTGAGTTCTGCCCAAATGAATGGCTTCATACTCCTTTCCTCACAACAAGAGGAGAGAAGAGAGGAATTTCCTTGGAATTTAATTGTTTCTATAAACTATTTTAACTAAATTAAATCATATTTTTATACCTAAAAGTTAAAGGACTCATGGGGTGCAATCCAATTAGACAGAAAGCCTATAAGGGAGAGGAAACAACCTCTAAGCCAAATCAAGTCATCAAGGCAACAATGTTCAAGCATCCCAACCCAAGCCGAAGACCACTTAAACACAACTGCCAAATTATATTGCTTCAACCTTTGAATTGATGGAAGATGCCCCCATTTATGTGATTTATTTGCTTCTAATTTTTGTCTTGTTTGAGCATTCAAAGTCTCTACAGGCACAAGTATGTCTTTTAAGCGACCCTTAATCCATTCATGAACATAGTTCTGGGAAAGGTGCTTGTAACCACCACAAATCTGAATTAAATGACCTTTCACCCCTATATGTACATCTGAACAGTACCTGCAAACAACAAGGCCAACTAAAAGCTCTTCCCACCATTGAATTGAGGCCCACACTTTATCTTGTTTCTTTGCTTCTAAATGCACCACCTAAGCTAAAAGCATAAGAAAACCTATCTATCTCCCAAAAGTCATCAACAACTCTGCTGCAACACTACAATGAAGATGATGAAACACTATCTCCTCTACTCAATTGACAATTTTGCAGATTGTTAAAGCTTAAGATTAAATTTGTTAAAGCTTAAGATAAGCACAATGCACAAGGCTTTGTGGATGGTTGGGAGGATCAAAGGTGTGCAGTTTAATTGAATCCATAGCACGTAACTGGGATTTTGATACAAAGCAATCATATAACAAAGTACAAAAAGAAATATTCAAATTAGGAAAATGCTCGAGTCATATAATGAGTGACTGAATGACTGCATATTCTTGACTGATTCTGCAACAAGCTCTGCCTGACCAAATCNCAAATTAGGAAAATGCTCGAGTCATATAATGAGTGACTGAATGACTGCATATTCTTTTCATTGTTGACTGATTCTGCAACAAGCTCTGCCTGACCAAATCTCCTAACAGCCAAAATGATGCAAAAGGAGTATATTTTGGAAGTCAATTCTTAACAAAAAATAATGGCCCCTTGGAACAAAATATTGTCTGAGGAATTTTGCAGCTCCCAATTGTTTGGAAACAACTACATAAATACTTTTTTTAATCACAATTTCTTATAATTTTAAAGGGTATATAACAATTGATAAATATAGTATAAAAGGGCAGTCTAGTGCATGGGACTTTCACCACTACAAGTTTTGGGGACGTATTTTTTAAACTCAAGTTCTATATATCTTACTAAAGTATAAGCAATTATAGCTTTTTTTACTGCCCCATTCCTAAGTCATTTTAGTCTTCCACTCCCTCTAGTTTCTATCAAGAGCGATCGCCTTATCACTCTTACTATTTGGTTTCCTTGTTGGGTTTTTTGTATATGTCTAAATTATCTTAATCAGTTTTCACCCAATTTATCTCCAATAGGAAGTAATCCTACCCTCTCATACATCTGTTCATTTCTAATTCTACCTTTTCTTATCTTACCATACATGTATGTTAATATTCTCATTTTAGCTACCGTCATTTGAAAGTCAAATTAAGGTTACATTGTTTTGCGAGTGCCTTGAAGCTCGAGTTTGTACTTGAAATGGTGGAGCTAAACGAAGTAAAGTTTAGGTGAAAAATAATCGTCATGACAAGGTTTGCATATATTCTGGCACTGTATCAACAATTCAGTATAGTTACAAAGCAGTAATAAACATGGTCTCCCCAATGGCAAGCAAAACAGATGGAGCACCAAAACTGCATTCATGCCGAAAACAATAGTGAACATGCATTTCAACAGTCTAACGCAACATAGAGAGAGAGAGAGAGTGCTAATTTTCCCATTATAAGGACGGAAAATGTTTATGCTTCCCCTGAACGAACAACCATCAAGAATAGCACAAAAACCTCAGATTGGTGTCTTAACCTAGCTGACATTATATGAATTAACCTCGATATCGGGCATATCCTTATTATTACACTAGTGCTACAATAACCAAAACACTAAAAGGACTTGGATGCTTTCATGAACGAAATCATGTCTCCAAACATTTTCTTGTACCCTCCAAATAACTTAAAATTTAAGCTCATTGCATAATTAAAATTGGTTCCATTTAGTGACAAGGATTTTCCAACATTCTAAACACACTAGATCTAATGGCCAACTAGCATTAGGCCATCAGTCTTTTAGTTATTCTAAGTCCAATCAAACTATCAACTGCCATTCTTAGAGCTCCCACATATTTTTTTCCAAACTTGCTAGTATATGAGATCGTTAGGAGCCCAGCGAACAACAAAATCATATAACCAATTCAAATCTCAACACAATATTTTGTGCCTCCATTTTAGCACTATAATACAAGCAACCACGTACCACAAGTCCAAATCAATTTACAGCCAAGAAACAATTTTCACTATTAGTACACATAATTCAACAAATACGCAGGAACCAAATTCAAAATAAACACGTATAGATATTCAGAGAGAGAGAGAGGGAGGTGGAGTGAAATTGCTTGCAGACCCAGAGACAGAAGAGTTGGAGAAGGATGGAGACGTCTTGATCGAGAAGGGTTCTAGCGGTGAGGATATCTTGAGCCATTGAAACCATGGTTTTCACTGGGTAGTCTTTTGATTCTCAATTCTCTTGAGAATCACTGGTCTCAGCTTCTTCAAGTCCACCAACTCTTAAGTTCTTTATTTGAACTGTAGGACGGTGACACCCGATCAAGCCTTCGAGCATCAACGTACTGTACCATAGTTTTTGATTCCTCATACCAAGTTCAAAAATTGTAAATTGTAGGAGGTTCTGCCATCCTGATGGAGTGAAGTTAACCTCTTTGGACATCTGTCCACACACAATAGATTTTGGATCCCCAGAAAACATACCAGAGAAGAGAAGCCCCTCAAATGACTCACAAGAGACGTAACGTAGCCCATGCCAGTTCTTCACCGACTCGAAGGCTACCCAGAAGTCTCCATTGGAGGCAGCAATTGAAGCATATAGACTAGAGAGAGAGAAGTATGATTAATAAGAAGCAGCAACCAAATCTAAAGCGAGAGAAGAGAAGGGAGAGGGATCAAGAAGAATGAAGAAGTTATAGGAGGAGAAAGGGAGAGATATAGAAGTTACTCAAACTTCAGGTACAATATTTCCCCCTCGGATGCTTTTACCAAGAGCAAACCTAGCACGTATGAGGATTCCAAATCAAATGATGGATTAGAATCTGAGGAACGTGAGCTATCTTTGGCCAGTCCTCGCCTATATCTTTCTTGCAGCGCCTTTCCAAATGTTGACAATCTTCAATTTCCAGTGTTTTTAGTTTATGGAGGCACCGCAGCCCATCTGGCAAGTAGAGCAGGTTAGGGCAACTCCAAATTCTCAAACTTCGAAGCCTATTTAAATGTTGGATGTCTTCGGGCCAAGACATCATCTCTGGACATCCATTTATGTACAAATCCTGGAGAGCTGTCAGGTATTTCACTCCGTCAGATAAACAACTTAGTTTCTTGCAGTTGATAATGGACAATGATGTCAGGGAAGACAAGCCTTGTAACCCTGTCGCCGGTAAGGATGTTAGGCTGTCACAATTACTTAACTCTAGTCTCTCTAGGGTTACGAGATTTTTGAGTCCTCTGGGTAAATGTTCAAGATTGGGACAGCAACGAACCTCCAAGCATTTTAGAGCAGACAGATTATCCATCAAATTAGGAAATTTCAAGCCTGGATAGGAACGTATGGTCAACTCCTTCAGATTTGGATGAGGTTGGAGACCATCAAGAATTTCTTCAACATTATCTGGTAAGTTGTCTTTCGTGATGTCATCGTCCCAATTCAAACTCAGAGCACGAAGATTATGCTTCTTGTTTAAATTGGCACTTCTTGCGTCCTCTGAATTTCTTACGTTTTTGAGTCCCATGATGGTCAACTTACCACCAAGATTTAATTCTTTCAGCTCGCCTATTTGCTGACCATGCTGTAGACCCACAATAAACGTGCTTAAAGTTTGAAGGCAAGTTAATTGCCCCAGTCCAGCTGGCATACAAGTAAGAGAAGCACAACCTCTAATGTCCAGACATACTAGATTTCTCATTTGCTTCACACTTTTTGGCAATTCACGAAGCTTAGAACAATTTCTCAGCTTCAATGTTTGCAAGTTTTGGAGATAAGTTGTTGATTCTGGTAAAGCCTTCATCTTATTGCAGGACATGTCAAGGTACCTAAGATGCTTCAAATTCCCTATTGAAGATATTAATTTTTCAATGTGAATCCCTCGANATAAGTTGTTGATTCTGGTAAAGCCTTCATCTTATTGCAGGACATGTCAAGGTACCTAAGATGCTTCAAATTCCCTATTGAAGATATTAATTTTTCAATGCGAATCCCTCGAACTGCCAACACCCTCAGGTACTTTTGTTTTGAGATATAGGTAGCCAAATTATCCATGCAATTGACGTCTGGCGTTGAAAGTACAATGAAGGAGCGCAAAGATTGCTCTGCAGGCATATCCTTGCTCTCAGGATTACTCATATAGAAAGACAAATGGCGAATCTTTTCTGGGATTTTCAGCACCTTACCATGCTCCATTGTACAACATTCTCGTATCATAATAGACTGGGCAAGATCATGCATCAAATCGTGCATTTTACACGTCAAGTCACCTTTGTAGTTTTCCTGGACATCTTGAAAGAAAGACCTGCAAACCAGATCATCGAAACACTCATGNAGCACCTTACCATGCTCCATTGTACAACATTCTCGTATCATAATAGACTGGGCAAGATCATGCATCAAATCGTGCATTTTACACGTCAAGTCACCTTTGTAGTTTTCCTTGACATCTTGAAAGAAAGACCTGCAAACCAGATCATCGAAACACTCACGAGCCATAAGAAGTAGATTTGTTTGTCCTTTGGATGGAATGAAGTTGTTTGCCATCCACAGCTCTAGCAGCATGTCCACCTCCATTTCATAGTCTTTGGGAAATATAGAACAATAGGCAAAGCATTGTCTCAAATATGGATGTAAATTGTCATAACTGAGCCTTAGGATAGGTAAGATAGCATTTTTAGANCAAATATGGATGTAAATTGTCATAACTGAGCCTTAGGATAGGTAAGATAGCATTTTCAGAATTCCATAAATTCCATAAATCCCAAATATCACTTTCTTTCACAGATAACCATTCACTTATGTTGCTTTTAAACCACATTAGGCTTCCAAGGGCTTTTACTGCAAGGGGCACCCCACCACATTTCTTCACTATTGCTTTGCCGATTGTTTCCAACTCTAAGTTTTCCTCCCTCCCATTCCCAAATGCACGTCGCTTGAATAAGGTCCAAGAATCATCGTCCGACAAATATCCCAGGTGATATATTGGAAGCGTAGCCATCATGTGAGCAACTTTCACAATCCTGGTGGTTACTATAAGCATACTTCCTTTTGATCCACACCTCAATACATCTTTTAGTCTATCCCACTTCCCATTTTCTTCGTTCCACACATCATCTAGCACAAGTAAAAATCTCTTCCCCCTCAATCTTTCTTGGAGGCGTCGTTGCAGCAGATCCAATTCTGAGATATTGCACCCAACACCTTGTATATAAAAATTTTCACAGCTTAGACCGCATCTAATAAAAAAACAATAACATGTAAAAATAATAATGCTATATAAGTATATAGCAGTAAGTGAATAATACCTAAAGCAAAACAAATTAGCTTTAACAGAATAGTAAGTGTACTGAAAAGCATACAAGTTAGACTAGATGTAAAAACAGAACTTAAATAATAAAGTGTACAGTGGTGTGAACAATAGTGAAGAAAAACTTACTCTTGCATCTACTATTCAATATCTATCAAATGCCAGATGAACAGTACTTTATTTAACAGGAAAAAAAAAATAACATGTAATTTAAAACTTGATAAAACAGGATATGTATATAAGTTAAAAATGAAGAGTTGGCTTGCAAGTCCAGAGAAGCATTTGATCATTGGCCTAAAAGGCTAAAACGGCTAAGCATCCTCATGTGAAAGTACTAACGGACTCAAGCAACTTTAAGATTCAATCCAAATGCCCACGGCAGTACTTCCTCAATAGTCATGTCTACCATAAAGTAGAGGTGAAATTGACTCGAATCGGATTGCACAAAATAATCTAATTCAAGATAATAAAAATTAGAAAATTCATGAAAGAGTCAAAGCTATCAAAGTTGGGGGAAGAGACGTAAGATCCCTTACAGCAAAATGAAAACAAGTACTCATTTTTTCCTATGGTTTTCAAGTACTGCTCAAGACCCTTCATATAGGCAATAAGTGAATCAACTCGAAAATCTCAGTCATCAAACCATTTACCACTCTAACATTATAGACTTGAAAAAGTTCATAATATTTCTTAAAATTTTTACCGTTAGGCTACTCATTTGAACAGTCAATACTCATGTAACAAATGAATAAAATCCTGCAATAACTTGAACATTAAACATTCAATGGTACTCCTTACTTTGTGAATGTTTTGCCTTCTCGAGGTCAAGGTCAGCATTCAAGTCCCTCCCCCTCCCCCTCAAAAAAACATCCAAATCTACCTGAATATTTTATAAACTTCAAATTTTAAAATAGTAGAAACTGAAAATTCAATAAGAAAGTTTTAAATTTTATTTTTATTCCAACGCACCTTCTATCAACTCGATGATTGCCTTGGTCAGCCGTTGTATGCTGAAATCATCAGATACACACACCCAAATCCTCATCTCAAAGTGAGCCTGTACCCTTGGATCATTGTAGACCAACTGAGAAAGTGTGGTCTTTCCAAGTCCCCCCATACCCCATATGGCGTAGACAGATAGATCATCTTGATATCTCAAATTGGAAAGCAACACATATACTATCATTTCTTTCTCCTTATTTCTACCGTAGATTTCTGACTCAATCACAAGGGAGCCAGTTTTTCTTCCCTCCATATCATAAACCTGTGAATCTATAACACCCTCTTTCAAGTGGAACTTAATTCTCTCCCCTGCAATGGAGTCAAATCTCTCGCGTATATCTTTCACCTTATGAGCCATTCTTAAGCGGAATACGGAAGGATTTCGAGGCTTGAAGAAGGCACTTACTTGGTTTATCCCACCTCTTCGACGGTCTACCCTTCGGTTGAGAACTTGTGTGGCAAACTCGTCCAATAGATTGTCGGCATCATAGGCTGCATCCTTAAGCTTACTCAGCCAATCCTGCAGAGCGGCACTCTTGGTTTGTTTGGCCTCGGCATCTTGAAGCACAGCTTGGATTGTAGTGAAAATACTCTTAAGTTTCTTGATCTCATTCTTTAGTCCCCAAGCTAACCCAAATTCTTGCAGTAGGTAAGACTTCAAGTTTCCCAAGATGGTACTCACAAGGTCAGAAACAAGTGCATCTGCCATACTCTCTCTTTGATTTTGGAACTCTACCCAGAAGGAATTTGAGATCAGAAAGGATTGGACTCTACACTGTATTGTTGATCAACCAATATTATTGCTCACACTTTGGCAATGGAAATGAATGAAAAAAGCAGTATCAGTTCCCATAAAGTAAAGCGACCAATATTATAGCTCACCGTGTGGAGCCCAAAGGAACTTTAACAACCACTAATTCTATCCGAGTGGCTATGGATCAAAGAAAAAGAAAAAGAAAAAGAAAAGATTAGGATAAGATCTCAACCCAAACCCTCCATTGAATCTAAAGCCAAAACTTACAAACTTAGTTGAAAATGAGAGCTGCCTAACTAGTAACCACTAAAGCAGGCACAGAGCAAATCCACTCAAAATTGGATCAAGATCAAGTCTTAATGAACTAAATTGGGATTGTACAATAAGAAAATTTTGGAATAACAATGCAGTTTTTTTTAATTATCGGAGTACCCTCTTTTTCACGCAATACTAATCGAAGTTTCCATTATTTTGTGCACGTGAAAAAAAAAAAAAAGATTTCAAATTTCAATCAAATTTCTCCAACTTTCAAATGTTCGGTTGTAGATATCAAAAGAATTCTCTCATTATTGGGCGATTTCATAATCGATATTCCAATTTTAAAACATCATAGAAAGTCATATTTATATCAAAGTAGTTTCTAATGCGTGTATACATATATCTGTATATCTTTATAATAGTACTTAGTTGTATGAACTCCAAATCTTGAATACTAATTTTTAGATTTTTTAAATAAATTTTATTTTACACTTTGGCATCTCTCACTCTCTTTATGAGTTCTCAACTTTGTTAGAAACCTACTCTAACCAAACTCCCAACCCTGTTAAAACTACCCGCTACCCTTACCTATCTTTTCTATCGAGTATTAGATTTTTATAATGTTGAATTATTTAATAATCATACATTGATCTCACCAAATTAAATTATTCTTTCGGCTTATATAATTAATTACTCCCACAAAATTACTTTAAATTTGAATTTTTAATCTTTCTTAATTTAGCATAATAATAGGTAATTTTCCATTAATACTAGGGTGGGGTGAAAATGAAGGGTTACAATATGCGGTGGAGGTGGGGGTTATGGGAGAGATTGAAAATATAATGAATTGCAAGGACGTCACTAGTATTTTATATATATTAGTAATGCACACGTGCGTTGCACGTGAAAAAATTTAGATCATTAATTCATAATCCTTGAATAGAATATGAGTAATAAAAAATTAAGTTTGATAAATTTAAAATGATATTTCATTTAGATACGTATATGCTTAATATGTTTTATTAATTTATGTATACGAAAACTATTCACATGTATTATTATTACGTTAAATTTGAATAAAAATGAGATTAAAATTGCATCTTTTAATAATTTTTGATCCATCATGCAGCTATACTTGTTGCATCTTTCTCAATTTATAAAAATATAACAACAATCAAGATTGATTTATTTTATATCTATTTTAATACAATGATACAAAATTAATTTCATATTTCCCCCCCCCCACCAAAAAAATGCCATCATCTCTTTATGGCTCCCGATATTAGACAACGTCACTAACCTTACCTATGTCTTTTGTTTTTTGTGTTATACCTCTTTCTTATTTTTCCTTTGTTCTCTATAATTTTAAAATATGTAATTTTTTTTTAAAAATAAATTATTAGTTAAAATAAAAATATTTCACCCTTAATACCCAATTTTTAATATTACAACCAACATAGAAAATTTTAACATAAACATAGAAATTAATAAACTAACATCAATGATGCCGGATATTCGATATGTCACACCAATCTAATAAACTAAAACATAAAAATTAATAAACTAATCTTAATTATACCAAATACTCGACGTACCACACCAATCTCTTAGAAAGTTGTTTGACATTAAATAAAGAAAAATTAAGTGCCACATAAAATTTAAACGTAAACATAGGAATTAATAAACTAATATCAATTATGCCGAATACTCGACCTGCCACACTAATCTCTTAAAAAGTTATTTCACATTAAATTAAGGAAAATTAAGTGCCACACCAATGTCAATATTCATTAAAGCATAAGGATAGATACAAAGGGGGAGGGACAGAGTTAAACTTTCAATCTCATTAATCGAAAGAGAGAGAGGGGAGGGAGGGAGAAATGACTACTATAACAGTAAAAAAAATAGTTTTCAATTAGTTGATTAGTTTAGCAATTATTTTATTAGTAGAATTCTAGAATTCTTTTAGTGGCAGTAGCATAGTCAAAATAGCACTTAATGTTAAAAACTGGTTTTCTATTACAAGTAGGATTGTTATGTACTTTATTTTGATGGTCTCGTCTAGCTGCTACATGCATTCTGTCATGTGTAAAATGGACAAATTCTTGTAAAATGACTAGTCAAATAACATAGGGAAAAAACAATGATGACTAATCAAATAACAGAGAAAATTAAAAAAAGGCTTACAGAATGGAAAAAAAAAAGAATGTTATGACAAGTCATAGATAAAATTTATCTACTAAGTCATAGAAATAAAGTTTATCTAGTCTAGCTAATATTTTAATAAAGTTTGTCTACTAAATCATAGAGATAAATTTTATCTAGTTGTATTTATCACCTAAAAATTAGTAATATGTGGTATTAGAATTCTAGTTGAGTTCGTCGAATTGAGTTTGCCGAAGTGAACGGAAAAGAAAGAATGTTCTAGTAAGTCATAGAGATAAAGTTTATTTACCAAGTCATACTAATAAAGTTTATCAAGTTAATATTTTGATAAAGTTTATCTACCAATAAAGTTTATCTACCAATAAAGTTTATCAAGCTAATATTTTGATAAAGTTTATCTACCAAGTCATAAAGTTTATCTAACTAATATTTGGGAAGTCAAATAGGTATGAAAGACAGAAACATATCTGGGTATAATTGATTTTATAGTAATAATTAAGGGTAAAATAGGAAATCAAAAATTTTTCACAGATACTGACATTTATAAGTAGTATAGATATAGATATAAATAATAGTCATTACCCGTGCCTGAAGGCATTATATAACCAAAAAAAACATCTTAAACAATTACTCAAATTTTCTTTTAAAATGGCTCGAAATATATTGTTGACTATATCCTCCATATTAATGAAACTATCATAAAAATATATAAAACCCCTCCAAAACAACAACATATATACAAGTGACTCGGGAAAAAAAATAATTATCAACAAAACCCATTGAAATTTATAATATTTAACCAATAAATAAAATATTGATCATTTATAGGACTTATGAATTTATCACATCTACTACCATTCAACCCAATAACACAATATAATTATAAACTTAGCCATCATATATTCAATCACTCTACCCCTCTGTAATAAATACCTCAAGCTAAAAAAAATATTAATAGAACATAATTAAATTCACAATCTTTAAGCGATAAATAAAATCAATAAAATCTTTCTCATTTATAAAACTAATGAATTTATCACCAATATCACCGTTCAACCCAAATGACACAATATAATTATAAATTTAATCACCAAATGTCCAATCATTTACATATAAATATACATAGAAACACACTCACATACATTTATTTTTTTATTATCAGCAAACCCTTGTAGTCAGTAACAGCTTTTATTGGAAATACAATAATTCAAAATTTTAAAATAAAATAATAATAAATTGATGTTTAATTAAAAAACAAGGGTAAAAATCATGGACACTTTAAATTTTGGCAATATTACACGGACACCTCCTGACATTGTATAAATAACACTGAGACCCCATGATGTTTGAATTCATTGCACAGATACCTCTTTGCCTAAATTCTATCAATGTTGCTAACGAAAATTGATAATTTCAGCCCAACAAACTTTATTATTTTTAAAATTTCTCTTCTCCAAATTTAGTACCAAAAAAATTAAAAATTTAATAAAATCAAATGNCTAATCTTAATTATACCAAATACTCGACGTACCACACCAATCTCTTAGAAAGTTGCTTGACATTAAATAAAGAAAAATTAAGTGCCACATAAAATTTAAACGTAAACATAGGAATTAATAAACTAATATCAATTATGGCCACTAATTTCTTAAAAAGTTATTTCACATTAAATTAAGGAAAATTAAGTGCCACACCAATGTCAATATTCATTAAAGCATAAAGATAGATACAAATGGGGGAGGGACAGAGTTAAACTTTCAATCTCATTAATCGAAAGAGAGAGAGGGGAGGGAGGGAGAGATGACTACTATAACAGTAAAAAAAATAGTTTTCAATTAGTTGATTAGTTTAGCAATTATTTTATTAGTAGAATTCTAGAATTCTTTTAGTGGCAGTAGCATAGTCAAAATAGCACTTAATGTTAAAAACTGGTTTTCTATTACAAGTAGGATTGTTATGTACTTTATTTTGATGGTCTCGTCTAGCTGCTACATGCATTCTGTCATGTGTAAAATGGACAAATTCTTGTAAAATGACTAGTCAAATAACATAGGGAAAAAACAATGATGACTAATCAAATAACAGAGAAAATTAAAAAAAGGCTTACAGAATGGAAAAAAAAAAGAATGTTATGACAAGTCATAGATAAAATTTATCTACTAAGTCATAGAAATAAAGTTTATCTAGTCTAGCTAATATTTTAATAAAGTTTGTCTACTAAATCATAGAGATAAATTTTATCTAGTTGTATTTATCACCTAAAAATTAGTAATATGTGGTATTAGAATTCTAGTTGAGTTCGTCGAATTGAGTTTGCCGAAGTGAACGGAAAAGAAAGAATGTTCTAGTAAGTCATAGAGATAAAGTTTATTTACCAAGTCATACTAATAAAGTTTATCAAGTTAATATTTTGATAAAGTTTATCTACCAATAAAGTTTATCTACCAATAAAGTTTATCAAGCTAATATTTTGATAAAGTTTATCTACCAAGTCATAAAGTTTATCTAACTAATATTTGGGAAGTCAAATAGGTATGAAAGACAGAAACATATCTGGGTATAATTGATTTTATAGTAATAATTAAGGGTAAAATAGGAAATCAAAAATTTTTCACAGATACTGACATTTATAAGTAGTATAGATATAGATATAAATAATAGTCATTACCCGTGCCTGAAGGCATTATATAACCAAAAAAAACATCTTAAACAAT